TTTAAATTCCGGGACAAGATGTTCAAGCTAAGTAGTTTTGTCACAGAAAAATAATAAGCCATTTTTTTTGTTGCATGTAAATCAGAGTCTCTATTTATAATGTTTAAATACTATATCATCGTATATAATGGATCAACGCAAATAATCAAGAGACAGCGTTAATAAGAGAGATATGGGACAAGTGACATTAATGGGTGTATGATAATTAGAGATCAAAGGTTGTTATTTCCTCTGTATCTGTCCGTTAGCTGTCTGCCTTGCTGAATTAATAGATTCTTTTTTATATTTTTTAATGTAAATAATTGATTTAATTTTAATTTTAATCAAAAAAATACCTAAAATATTTTTAAATATTAAGGGTTATTTAAAAAGCGACTGCGTACAACCCAACCTATAAAACATTTCTTATATATATCTTCATAGAAAATATTAATTTTTTTTAGTGAAAACTTCTTTATGCACTTTTTTTGTGGAAGGTGAAGTAGACAGAGACGTCATATCTCCGAAGTGTAACACTCGGGTAAGATCGGCTGGAGTCGACTAATGGAAGTGATTTTTCATATGGATTAAAATATTTCAGAAACTAAAAATGGGACCTGCATATTGTTAGAAGGAAAATTTTCATCATTTTATCCTCTTTGAAATGAGTTATTATTCAAAATTGTATTTGAACTCGGCGCCGAGTTAGAGAGGCAAAATAAAAAAATAGTGTCAAAAAACAAAAAATGACGAATTTTATTGAATATATGGATTAAAATAACGGAATAAAAATCGGAACTGAAGGAAAAAGTTCAGCATTTCATTCTCTTTATAATCTATTATATCTATAATAATTTATATTTCATATTATTAATATCTCCTTGATGTTTTCACTTCTATCGTGTGGTCTAAAGCACACACCTTAGTAGTTTTTTTTTTGTTTTTGCAATTATCTTGTAAAACCCGTAATTATCGCAATACTGTCCCTTACTATATACTTCATTTATAGGTAAGTGAATGTAAATCTGATAATATTAATCATAAATAATGAACTAAAATGGAACAATTAATATGAAACTCCAAAATACAATCGAAGGTTGGTATTCAATCAGCAAATAACATAATGCAAAATAATGCTACCTTCAGTTATTAACTTCTTCGAATATGCATTTTTTTCATTTCCTGGTTTATTATTTCCTCTCCTCATTTCTTTTAACTTCTAAGCAACTGATTTATTTTCTGTTTCCTATTTTTTTTTTTTTTTTTTTTTTTTTTTTTTTTTTTTTTTTTTTATAAAAGTTAAATATCTTATAATTTGAACTGCATCTTGAAATATTGGATCGACCTTTACGACACCTAAGATCAAACAGGTTTTAACACTTATTGAATGGTTCGTCTTTACTTTTATTGTTTTAAACAAGGTTCTATTGAAAACAAGACAATAATTTTAAGTGCATACAAATTTCCATTAATCACGTCTGTTGTACAATGATCATTTTCTTATTGTCAAAATATTTCAAACGAGATTTTTTTCACTGCATGTTTTTTGTTTTATTACTGCATATTTGAAGATTTTTTATTGCATATTATATGTTATATTTTGTGGATTTTTACTTCTTTGGGTTTTGGGTTCAGTACTTTGTTAAGAAGTACTAATTCAAGGCCAATGGCTGTACAGGGAGGTGATCGGGCCAAGATCACACTCAACTGCCAGGTTTTGTACCTTAATCAATTATTTAATCAAGAGAAGCTGGGTATGCTACAAGAGGGTCTCCCTATCCAAAATTCGATTCACGTCAGATGAAGAATTGTTAGACATCGACCGGATTCGAACCCGGAACCTTAAGCTTAGCAGTCCGATGAATAACTCATTGAGTTATTCCACTCCCATCTGACTTACTATATCAATTTAAAATATTGCTAGACATTAATTTCCTTCATAAGCTAGCAAAGTGTTCAAATAGATATGAATATCAAATAGATACTTACTCCAAGAAAATATTTTAACATTTTTAATTTGCTAAGTATAATAAAATATCTTTTTATGAAACTAATTACGATACTCGCCATATTTCAAATATAAGCCTAAAGTTTTCATTTAAAATTAGATTATTTAATGCGAGTGGAGTTGGCCGCTAAATTGGCAGTTGGCAGTTGGCAGTTTCAGCGAAATACACTAGCACTAACGTTACGGCAGTTGCTGCCATCAATTGCGGTGGGCAGTTAGTGAAATTACGACTTATAATTCATGCCAATACTAAACTCTTGCTGATTATAAAATCGTTACATACACACTTTTATATTTTATCTGTGATGAAAACATCTGAAATTGATAAACGTTATGAATAAATGAAATCAAATTAAACTGGAACAAACAAATCGAGAGGTGTCTGACAAATTTCCTTTCTTGTGCTTCTTTATGCCTAAATGCATCATAATAAATTATAATTAAGAGACACTTTAAAAGTATTACATTTAACATTCGCATGGATCATACCACAGCGACACAAGCCGCTGTGTAACTAGTATTGTAATTTTTGTTTTTTCGAACAGACTTGCTAAACCATAGTCAAACGTGTTTATAATAAATGAAACAATTTAACAGGTAGCGGTGGTAATGACAACAATAAAGGTACGTGCTCAACATATAAGAGACGTATGCGTAGAGAGAGGTTCCCCCACTGGTCGGTCTATCCGCTGGTGTCTGTCCTTTAACTCCATGGCTTCTACTACACTTTAAAGAAATTTCCTCATTGTTCTCTCTTTTCAACTCTTAAATATCTGATGTTATGTTTTTTGCTTGTTAATGGCATCAAAGTGATGGGACAGTGTTTGAAAATACATAAACATAATTCACTGTTAACCAAAATTTAAAAAATATATATATATAATTTAAAATGTCTTTTTATTCTTTAGGAGTGGAAATAAATTTCACTGTCATTTTACATAGGTTTCGAAAGAAAAAAAAAAATGTTTATTAGAAAATTGAGTGTGGGACAATACGTGGTAATGACATTTTAGTAGCTTAAGTAATTATGGAGCGGGGTAGCTCAGTGGTAGGGTACTGAGCTTCCAATACAAAGGTCCCGAGTTCGAACCCCGGCTCATGGCAGAAAATTTAATTATCTGTTTCATTGGCCGTGGGGCGACCTTGGGTCAGGAGTCCCTCCTGGGGCTCACCCAGCCTCTAAAAGTGGGTACCTTTAATTAAATAATTGATTAAGGGGGAAAACCTGGCGGTTGAGCGTGATCTCGGTCAAATCACCTCCTTGCACAACCGTTGACCTAGAAACAGTGCTTTCCCTAAAATAGTACTGAACCCCAGACCCTTCATGGGTTGTAGTGGTACAGGTTTTTTTTTTAAGTAATTATAAAATTACAATATTCTTTAATATTTTAATTTTCAATATTTTATTATGAAGAAATATTTCTTCAACATATAGCAGTGAGGAAAAAAATCAAGTTAGACTTAATTAATCACGTAGAAGTTGTAATGGACTAAAACTTGCCCCTGAAATGAGAATCACCCGTATACGTTCTTCATTACTTGAATTCTATTACACTTCAAATTTAGACATATTATTTTTACACCATTTTTTTTTTCAGTGTAGGCATTACAAATCTTGTAGATGTTTTGCCCGCCTCAACCAACCTTTTCCATTACTGCTTATCTTAGGCTGTTTCTTTCCAGTTATCTGCAAGGAGCTCTTTGTTGATTCTATCTTTCCATCTGGTTTTTGGTCTTCCACGTGCTCTTTTGCCTATTATTGAGGCATGAAATATTACGCAGAGGTTAGCACACGGATTGCTCCGAGCAACACACCCCGCCCATCTTATACTCCTTGACTTCACATCATAAGGTAATGATGGCCCAGTTTTTGTAAGGAGCTCTTTAAGTTAGTGCTCTGGTTCCAGATCGATTCGATCTTCTTTCTGCGGTACCGGTTAGTTTCTAGGTTTCATAGCTGTATAACAGAACTGGTTTTATCATAGCATTTTTACGCTTATTGGGAGATTTCCAGAGATTTTAATATCTTCGAAAGAGAAAAAAAAAACTCTGTTTGCTTTTGTTATCCACTGGTTTGTTTCCGGCCGTTGGTCGTTCATTCAGATTATTGTGGATTCGAGGTATTTAATTAGTGTGCACTTAGGGATGTCATACCATTGCCCAATTATATTATATTCATCTTCTTTAAATTCAAAGACCCACTAGGCGGTCATTAGTCAGCTCTAACGCTCTTTTCCAGACTTCTCTATTTCTAGCAAATGAAAACATCCAGATATACAGTTATACTGTTCATCCATATTCCTCTTCGTCTTCCACACGCTCTCATTCCCTCTGAAGGCTAGAATAGAACTTTTCGGCTCTCCAATCATTGTCCATTCTTAATAGTCGGCCCAGTCATCTTAACCGTTGTATTTTTACAATTCTGAGACTATTAGATCTCCTTAGATCCATAGATATTGTAAATTTCACGTTTTTTTTTCATTATTATTTTATAAGTAATAAAATTATTACTGAAGAATTCCTTCATGTATCTATCTCTCACCAGTCTTATTGAACAATTTTTTATGAAACCATTCTTCCCCTCCTCTTATATTTTTTAAGTATCGACAACTCCTTATGTTGAGCTATGTTGAAAAATAATTTTAATGTAAATTTCTTTGTATTAGTTTTTCCCTGCATTTTTTTAAGATTCTCAGTGGCCCTCAATTAACCCAATGGTTCATCCAGCATTGAACAAAAATGCTGGATACCTCCTTCCAAAAAACTAAAAGAATTAGCCAATGATAGACAGAGATGCGGAAGACGTCAGGCCTCGAAATATCAACAAAGCCTATAAAATCAAGAGAAAAAAAAATTAGCCAGGTGAATTAAACTAAAAGCTAAAGAATGACAAGTTTTTTGCCCATAGTATTTTTTATCATTCCTCTTCCAGCTATAATTCAATATAATTATATAATATAATTTTAATAAAATTATGTATTATATAATTATTCAATTATTATTTTTATTTCAGAATGAACGAAAGGTGATGGGGAAGGACACCTACCTGCGGGACCTGGGTGCCGGCAGGTACGCCCTCCCGCTGGAGCTGTGCGAGCGGTTCAACGAGAGCGGAGTGAACCTGACCAGGATCGAATGCCTGGAGCACGCTCCGACCCTCACCTCGGAGGCCCTCACCAGGGCCATCGTCTTGGCCGTCATGGCCATCATCTCCCTCGTCGGCAACCTCCTCACCATCTTCAGCATCGCGGGCACCAGGGCGGGCCGGCGCCGCAAGAACCAAACATGGTCCGCTGTCTACGCCCTCATCCTCCACCTCTCCATCTCCGATCTCTTCGTCACAGTTTTCTGTAAGTACATCCTCCTAAATGATCTTAATGAACTCCAAAATAATCCTTATTTGCATCCTCCCTAATGATCAAAAGGCATTTTCTCAAAAATACTCCTCCTGTACTTCCCCTAATTCGACCTTAATGTACATCCTCGAAATAGATTGTTAGGTACATGCTCAAAAGTTATCTTAAAGAACTTCCTCCAAAGCGATCCTTATGTACACCTTCCATAATATTTTTGTTTTATTTTATTACTCGTCGCAAACCTATGACTTCCTGTCCTACAGTATCCTTTAATAACACCCCACTTATCCCTGTTGAACAAATGCGATATCTTCGACTCCACCTGGACAAACAGCTAACTTTGAATCCTTATACAAGACTGAAACGACAAGAAACTGCTCGACGTTTCCGCTTATTCCAACACTTACTAGACAAACGCTCTAAACTTTCTATTATTATCAAAAGACTAATATACATGACTATAATAAGACCTATTTGGACTTACGGAGTTGAGCTATGAGCTACTATACGAGGATCAAATTCCTTCGTAAAATCCGCAATGCTCCTTACTTTGTCACAAATAAAATAATCCATAATGACCTTAATGTTCATATGTTTCCGATTTGGCCCAATCCTGATACCTATCCTTCCATAATAAACATCATAACCATCTGAATCCTCTCGTTTCTTACCTTGCTTCCTCTTCGATTCCTAATAACCCCGAAAAGGCGCCTGAAAAGAAGATGGCTTCGTGATCTCCTTATGTAGACATATTATTAGAGTGTTACCTGTGGGTAGATTCTCAACAAGCGCTTTCAAGTGATTATATTCTTGTGTAAACATTTACTTGATGTATTTATATTGAAATACAGTTGTAAATACCTTGAATAAATAATTTAAAAAAAAAGTTATTTTATTACTATGGGGTTACTCCCGTCCGCTTACTGGCGGATCAACCCCCATTTTACAGATTATAACTGCTGTCACCTAGGTAAAATCAAACTACCACCTCCGGATGAATACCACCATTTCCCGTATAAATGTTTGGCCTAAAATCTTTATTTTGCATTAGGAGATTAGGAGGTTATAGGAGCTCAAAACATATGTTGTACCATAACGAAAAGACTAGGGTGTAAATATCTATTTTTGGTTAGGAGAATTGGAGGTTACAGGAGCTCAAAATATATGTAATTATATGAACAGTTTTATAATTTGTAAAATAATCGCCACACAATAACAGCACTATCATATCTATATAAGCTGAAAAGATGAGCTCTTGTAACTCTTCTACTCTCCTAATATTAAAATAAAATAAAATATGACAGGCATTAAAAGATTCTTTATATAATAGAGAGATTTCTTTTCCAACTCTTCCTAGCCTTTTAGGCTATACGGTATTTTCTCCGGTCCAGGGGAGAGAACGGAGAATTAATGTAGGAGTTAAAAGCCTCTTTTCTGTCATCGGAACGCGAACTACAATTTATTTTATCATGCTATCGGTTTATCGTGTATAGCGTGTTTTGCGCTCGCATTAGCCCGCTCGGCCAACCCGCTCCCAACCTCCCTGATGACCTAAGTACATTGTCCAAAATGATCTTAATGAATTTCAAGATTGATAAGAAGATTTTCATGTGTTTTAATGTGTTTGATCAATGTTGTTTTGAATATTCTAAACTCAAGCTTGCGTTTCAATCACACTCACTTTTATGAGATTGATAATTCAATTTATTTCAACTGTGGGGACCCCTCGAAAACGATTACTGAACTTTTGATCTAAAGAATTTTATTTCTATAGTCGTTAAGACTTATCCCGAAAACATGCTTCTAACCTGTATATGTTGAGGGATTACTTAATTTTCAAAAATTGCTTTTCCCAGAGATTTTATTCTCATACGAAAAATTTTATACCTTGTAAAACTGATATTGTTTAGCCAATGCAAATGGTGAGGAACCTATACTGACCTTACTTGCCAGAGGTTTCTTTTTTGTTTTTTTCTTTTGGAATACACAGGTAGTGATGTAAAATCTAATTTTTATTTTTTTTTGGGGGGGAGGGGGCCAAATTTAACTTGTCACTCATGGCAATCCCAGATTACCCTTTACGAAAATTGAAAACATTTGGATTTTTTCTTTCCAATTTAAACAAGTTTTTACAAAATAATTACATTAGTTATATATGCCCTGTTATTGACTCATCAAATCTCTTAATCAGGAAAAATAAATAGAAAAATAATTTTCTTTTAAATCTAAATAACTTTAGATTGTTAATGTTACAAACAAACTGTATTAACAGTAATATTATTACTATTTATTATAAATACTGATTTAAACAGAATGTGATGGTTCAGTTCCTCTCCATTGCCCCTAAAATTATTTCAATATTTCTTGAATTTGTTGGGTGTGGTTTCCAAATATTTTATATGACACTTGTTGGAAATTTTAACCCTCATGAAATTGATTACTACGCATTTTGCAGTAAACTGTTCTTAAAAAATAATTCTTAGGACGTATCTAGTTTTATTCTGTTATTTTTTTTTCAGTTTTTAACAACTCTATTTTCAGTAACTGTTCCAAATTTCACAACATGTTACCTGCATAACACGCAAAAACTTTAATATTCTTTAGCATTGGTTATAACATCTCTATGCCTAAAATGCACTGAAAGCTCATTTTATTGGCGGCATTTTCTAGATGGCGAAATTCAATTTATTAACTTAAACTGCTCGGGTATGAAGTAATTGACGATAATTCCATGATTTAGGATGGTTAGTAATTTCAAACTAAAGGGTTGCTAGGTTTAAATCTTCCGGTCCGGTTGCTTTAATCAACGGTTAAACGGTTCTCTTTCTATTCGGTATCAAATGGAAACATACAACGAATCCCCGTTTTGACTCCCTACCGAGAAATTTCTAATTGCAAGTTTACACAAGTCATGATAGTCAAAACGTTTAAACAGTTAACGAAAACAAAACGATTGGAATTCTACCTCTAAAGTAAACGATACTGTTTATTTTCAATAATTTCCTTTGTTCTGGTAATGTATTTATAGTTCCCAACTCTCAACTCCCTTTCAATAAAGGCTTAAGAGCTATAATTTCACAGTAAAAAAGTCTAAATGGAGGTTACAATCAATAATAGAAAAAATAATTTACTACCTAATTGAGCGAGTGAATAGATGATGGAGATATGTAACAGCAAAGATTTGATAAATTATCATTTATATACTTTTTTAATGATGTAGAGATGGTTGACCGTTGATATAATATGAGAAGGAGTTAATTGGGGGTGCGGTCAAATAAATACTAAATTAAAATATAGTAATTATTTAATTTTTGCCGACGTTTCGACCCACTTTGCAGGTCGTCTTCAGGGCTATAAAAGATACAAAACATGTTGGAAAAAAAAATAGATATAAAATAAGAAGAAGTTGTCATATACAGAAATAAAAAGATTTAAGATTTATCTCTGATATCAACTTTTTATTTCTGTTTATTTTTTTTTTGTGTGTGTTTAAGGTCATATTATAATATTTCACTCCTATAAATGGCAAAAGTTTTATTCATTATAAATTTCTATTAATTCATTAAGAGTGTAAAGCGAGAACATTGTTTATTCAATAATTTGAATAAACAAGTGAAAAAAAATAAAATTAATAATAAATATAGATTGAAGGAAGTTAATCGACTGTTTTACATATCATGGGTGATAAATATTCAGGACGCAGTGGTTTTTAAAAAAAAAAATTATTTTTTATTTATGTCAACGTTTCAACCTAAACATATGGGTCATCTTCAGGGCATGGTTTGAGCATTGAGGGTGTTCAAGCACTGAACCTGTACTTGAACACCCTCATTGCTCAAAGCACGCCCAGAAGATGACCCACATGTTTGGGTTGAAACGTTGGCATAAATTAAAAAAAATTTATAAAAAAAGACTGCGTCCTGAATATTTATCACCAATAATAAGTATAGCTACATGGATGAATAAAATGTGTAAAGTAAAATAGATTAAGAAAATTCGACTAGCTGTCTAAGGCCTAGAAGTTTATGGTAAATAGCCCATGTATGAAATTGAGAAGTGGATGTTGCAGGCATTGCTGGAGAAGCCCTGTGGTCGTACACCGTCCAATGGCGCGCAGGTAACGTGGCCTGCAAGGTCTTCAAGTTCTTGGAGATGTTTTCCCTCTACCTCTCCACGTTCATCCTCGTCCTCATCGGATTGGACAGGTTCATCGCCGTGCGGTACCCGATCCGTGCCATCAGCACAGCCAAGAGGTGTTCCAGGTTCGTCGCCATTGCCTGGGTCCTCAGTATTATCCTCAGCATCCCGCAGGTAAGGAGATGACTAACTTTATCAACAGCTGTTTATTATTTTAAAAAGTACTAAATGATCGATTCGTATTAAATATTTAAATATCAGAGTAAAATTGTATGTTTTAAATCTGTAAAAATATATTAACTAAATTATTTCTCAGCCGACATACTAAGAGCTCTAAACTCAACTAACTACCCATTATACAGGATACTATGCAGTTACAATGCCCCCGTTCCCGAAACGTACATTACATTCAAAGTCCATATAAAGAAATTGAGATGTGTCAGTCAATTAAGAGTTGCGAACCCAGAACATATCAGAATCCATGCAAAAAACACAAATTTTTCGATTGAGTCTCAAGAAACCTGTATATCATGCAGTCAATTTATCTACAATAGTCTACATCACATTCTCCTTCACTGTCCAGCATGCAATGGCTATAGACGAAATTCCTTCAAAACTTCATCTCAGAATCTTCTGATAGCCACAAAATTGAAACCATATTGAATATCGATTGTGTAGATAAGTTAAATAAAATTTACTATTATATGATGGAAAGACACAAAGTACAAAATTGTTGATTATAGCCCATGTTCAATTAAGTTTGTTTTAAGTTTATCTTAAAAGTAATATTTTTATTTTTTATTGTTTCTATCATAGTAACAGGTTCATATATCTAATATTATGCAGTAATCTTTTTTTTGTTTTAATTTCTATTGTTTCTCATGTTTTGTAAAACCCATTCTACACGTAAAAATATTGTAAATTTTATTTATTTTTAAATCAAAGCATATATAACAAAATAGCCAAGCTAGGCTCTATTTGTATGGGGAACCCTCCCCCTCTCTCCCCAAAACAAATAAATTTCTATCTATCTATCTAAAAAAATATATAAACTTTTATTGAATATTTAATAGTTGACCGTTGCATTATAAAGGAAGGAGATGATCCCGGGTGGCGGTCATAAATAGGCTGAATAGTGGCAAAACTATTAAAAGCCAACGTTTCAACCCGACTTTTCAGGTCTTCTTCAGGGCAAGAACGGACAAGATACAAAAAGATAGAGAATTGTGGAAGTTACATAATATTATGACAAAATTATAAATAATGTGAATAAGTTTATTAAAATTATAAACAGTAAGTACATTTAAATATAAACAGAGCAAGCTAAATTAAAGAGTAAAAGAGGTTTTAACACGTGTTAACCCGCTCGGTCGCCCCACCCCTATTTATTCTAATTTACAAGCTGTATCCATAAGAATTTTATCTCAATCACCCCCTTTCACACCATGATCCCTATTCCTCCCTCCCATTATTCATGCTTTAACAAATAAAATAATGGTTCGTTACCAGTACCAGTAATTCCATCAGGGGATTAGTCGAATCTTCAGTAGCTTCTATTGTTATTTCAACAGTATTTATTTTTTTGGAATAAATAAATATAAGAACGTATAAATATGACAGATGTTCTAAATTATCTGTGACTAGTAAATCAAATATTTACAAAGCCCTCAAACCACTTTGGACATATGAAATCGAATTATGGAGAACAGTAAAGAAATCAAATATAAAAATGATCCAGGCATTCCAGGCAAATGTCCTTCAGAAAATTGTAAATGTACCCTTTTATGTTTCAAACGTTTCGCTACACACTGACCTTAACACTCCTTTTATCACGGCAACTGCCACTAACCGCTTTAATAATCTTCATGACAGACTGACTCTAAATTCAAATCCTCATAATCAAGCTCTATCTATTGCTACAAATCCATATAATCCGCCCAGAAGACTGCTGAGGGCCAAGAGACTTATTGAATTGAGCTACTTGCTGCATTATCTTTTTTTTGTGTGTGTGTTATTATGTATGTGTTATTTTACAACTGTTTTTTTTTTGGTATCATTTCTTCTCCTTGATATCATATTTGCTGCATACCGAGGTAGATGGCAAATTTATTGTGAGCCAGGAATATGTATAACTAATAACTAAAGAATGATCTAATTTTACTATAAAAAACAATAAAATATTAATAGAAAAACTAGAATATTAGTAACTAATAAAAAAATAAATAAATATTTATTAAAATTCCAATCGACAGTATGTATACATATATAAATACATTCACACTTTATCTAGTAAAATGAATATAAACAAAAATGTTTCATCATGCATGCGTGGTCAGATAAAGGGCTTATAAAGGATAAAACGAAGTTAATATACAGTTGGAATGTGGGAATAACTGACCTATATATTTCATTCATTCATATTCCTGTTTAAAATAGCTTGTTAATCTTTTATTTGAATCTACGAATTCATAAGGACTAAGAACGTTGAATGTTTTAAAGAGAGAACATTGTTATTTTCATTATATATTCAAAATAAAAAATAAACTGTTAATTTTAAATTTGATCTGATATTTTCTCATTAGTTATAAGTAAATAATAAGGAGTATCCAGAGGCCCTCTCGATCTAAACAAATTTTGTTATTATATTTGCCTTTATATTTCTCATGAATTTTATCACTCGGCCTGGCTCAGACTGATAGCAAACAACGCCCCCCCCTTTTGTGGAAGCTTCGGAAGAAGGGTAGAGAATATAAACATAGAAGAAGAGTGGAGAAATAGCCTCCCTGATAACAAGAACCCAAACACTTCCCCAAAAAGACGCTGAAAATATAATCTTCCCCCTCTTTTATGTTATTTTTCTTATGAAGCATAGTATCCAGGGACCGAAAAATTTTCTTAAATTGATTTATTCAATTATTTTTTTAGACATCAGCATTATAACTGTTGCAATCGTCAGCGATGGATGTGGCTGATGGTTGTAATGCATCCGACTATATTATTTTTGGTTTATTATTTTCAATAATCAACCATTGTGATCGACCAAAAAATTCAAAAACTTGACCCCCTCTCAAAATTTGAGGTTTCACGTTTCAGGGTACGTAGAATTCGAAAATCGAAAAAAAATATTTTTGTCCGCCCGCCCTCCGCGCATTTTCTCCGAAACTACTAGATCAATTTTTTTCTAATTTTGATATAAAATCAGAGGTCACCCGAGGATGATCCTCCTTCATCGACATTACTATCCGCCTTTTATTTTCAAAATGGCGGCCCAAAAACCTGCGTTGCTATAGGCTGTAACGCCTAAACGAATGTACCGATTTCAATGAAACTTCGCTAGAGTCATTTTCTCTACGCCCTTTAAATTTATTTTTATAGCATACTTCAACGAAAAGAAGCTGGAAAAAAAGTTACGAGGGATGGTAAAATTAAATTCCGAATAGCTCAAAAAGTTTACACTTTTTTGTAGATAATGTATATAGTTTTTTAAAAGTTTACGAAATTTCCTAAAAAAAAAAAAAAAATCGTTAAAATCGGACAATTAGAGGCAAAGATATGGTCTTCGGTTTTTTTTAATATATTCTACTCCAAATGTTATATCCTTTGTTTGGTTTTTAAATTTTGAATGTGCTATTGAAATAATGCTTTTTTTAGCATCTTACTAATGATAAAAAAAAAAGTTTAGTCCAATAATTGGAATCATCTTTTATTAATTTTATTATTTGTAACTAGGAAGGTAATGTCACTTTAGATGTATAATGGTTTGGAAACAATAAACCATTGTGAAATAATAATAGCCTCGACTTCGCTATGTCTGGCATACGAGAGGGTGAGGGATAGTTGTTCTAAAGGTATATTAAGAAGATATAAGGTATAACCTGGATTCGAATCTGCATAGCTAGACTCGAGAATATTAAACTTTAACAGGCCCAGTAATCACGACATGAGGAAGGCATTCGACAAACACTACACAATTTTTAAATATTTGTTGACGATATTTCCCCCTAACAATCAAAGTACTTAAGTAGATAAGCAATTAAAACCCTCCTATGTCAGAAATGGCAATGGTAATCTCGAAAAAAAAAAATCTGGTGAGCGCATAACACAACTTTCACTCACTTCTCCACTTTGAACAGAAATTATTTTCTGGCAAAATTAGACTATAACAGTATATTTTTAAGGGAGTTAGACCATGTTGGTGAATTTCGTTCATATTTATCAATGCAAAAACTCACCAAGACCATAATATTAACAGAAACACTGTCTATTATATGGATTGTACAGAATAAAAACCTCATAACTCCATCAGTCTATCTGAATTGCAATTTCTGAGCTCTATATACAAAGATAGATCTGAAAGTACATTTATCCAATTATGAATAATTAACGGTACTACTCAGTAAAAAATATAGAAATGAAATCTCTATCACTGTTTACATTTATTTAAATTAACAGCATTTAACAGCATCGATAGTTCCAAAAGTCGTCACACTAATTCTAAGTGTATAGTATTGTGATTTCACAGAGGGAAAATTCATCAAACAATTCACCAGTTTAATTTTCTAAAATATTACTTAATGATTTTTTGGAATAAATTGAAGATGTATACCTAATTATTTAATATAATTGAAAACTTCAGTAAATGTTTTTAAGGTTGCAAACATATGCATTACTCATCTATGAAATATTGTTATATTCCACTTCTTCTTTAACATAAGTGCAATAATATTTTTTTAGGAATGCCATTGCTTCGAATCTGTAGATCATTTATGATTTCATTCCAAGCTTAAAAATATATATATTTTTTTAAATTACATTTACTTATGGAATTTCATTTAGTTTACTTCAAGTAATATGAATTTTCATAAAGTACTATTTTTAATTTTTTCGTTATCGTCTACGACTTTGTATGTCAGACATTGTTATTCCTAGAATGGTCAGCTTTTCAACAATATATTACAGGTGCACATTCTGCCTGTTATTTCTAGAAATTCATTAACAACCTAAAAAAAAAAACATTTTTCTTTTTTTTTATCCTTTTATCAATTAGAAATTCTTTCATAGTTTTTATAGAGAATATTTTTATTACTACTAACAATGATAGACAGTTACTTACTTAAAATAAACCAAATTAACGGTACTTTAGAAAAAGAAATTTTGAAAAATCGGCATTTACAGGCCCTGACAGGCTGTATGTTTCATCGTTGAGTATAAAATCTACCTTAAATTAAAAAGTATTTAATAATACACTGACCTAATGAGCTTCATCAAAATCGTTAGAGCCGTTTTTGAGAAAATCGTAAAAATTTGTTAAATCCATGATATAAAGTGCAACTTCCGGTTTCTCGATTTAAAAAAAAAAGTTTATGTAACATCCCAGGCATGATAAAACCTTAAATACGCAATTTCAGTTCCCTACGACTTTTCATTTTCGAGCTATACTGTTACATACAAAAAGACAAACCATTTTGTGATGGTAGTAAGTCATCCTGATAACTTATATTTGATTATTTGAATGTAAGAGACCTCAAAACAAGCTATATTTCCATTGAAAACCTGTATTTCTTATATAGGTAAGTGAAAGTATTATATGATATGTATGCAATTACATTCATTAAAATATATAAGTTATTTCTAGTCGTTTTTTTTTTAAAATAAAAATATTTATTATTGTAAAATATCTAACTTCTGTTTCATGATGCCTTGTCTTAGCTTTCTTAGAAAGGTTATTCTAATTATATAGGTTTTTAACTAGATATCCAAGTCTGTCAAACTTCACTTCAGAAAGGAAGATACTAAGCTGTATTCATGTACCAAGAAAGATGGGAGATGAATACTGGTCTAAAAAGAATCAAGAATTGTAAGATGTTGAAGATCAAGAAACAACAATGAGGGAAAGAAGATTGAAATTGTATGGTCACATATTACACAAGAGAATGTGTAAAGATGGGATAATCAAACAGATACTTGACAAAGTAAGGTGGCTGAAAAACATGAAAATGTATCCTAAACAGATACAGGAAGAAATAGTAAGACTTGGTATAAAATAAGATGAATACTTTGAAAGGAATGATTTCAGGGGAACAGTGAATCAGATTAATGTCCTTGGAATAGAAAAGAGTAGAAAGGAAGGAACGAAAAGGGCAGACAACTGGAAAAAGGAAATGGGTAAAAAATAGAGAAAGTTTGGCCTAAAAGGAAATAAGAAAAATGATTTGCACGTGGTCCTTATCTAGCATTTATAGCGGGGGGGGGGAATCTTTTTTTTGTAATTGTTTAAAATGTAATTATTATAAGTAAAATTTAATTATTTGTTAAATTTACTGTCACCAACCTTCCCAAATCTTTAAACCAGATATGAAGCCACAAAATAAATAAATAATTAAATAAATTCTAGTGAGTAAATGGTCAGTCCCAATAATAAAAACATAGCAGGAAGTAATATCATGATTCAAACACTACCCACTAACCAAATATCAACATAGTCTAAACAAAATATATGTTTCCACAACCAAAAATGAATGGGCATGAATGAATTGATATATAATGTTTTTTAATACAATTTGATTAATAGTAACATGTTATATTTATTTTATATGTATATCTATTTATATATGTAAGAAACATTTCCTTAGAAATAACATTACTTCCAATAATAGAAGTAAATAAAAAATTTATGCAGAGTATTTTAAATAATTTAACTATATATATTCCAAAGAAATAAGTAAAAAATCTTTCCTTTGCATTCCAAAAGTAATTAATTATGCTTAAGTATAATGGCTTCCTAATCTACTCCTTGCCCATTTTCATATTTTTATATTTTCATCATGTTTAGCTTCAGTTTTCATTAAAAGTAATTTACATTCTGAGAAAATTAATGTAAGTCGATGAGTATTATATAAGCAGCTGGCAGAACCAGTTTCTGAAAGAGTTATAATATCCACCAGTCACCTTTATATCTGTTTCTACAATACTATCTGTCAAACAAAATAACATGGTAGGTAGCATTGAAATTTGACTTAATATATAATGTGCCTTAACAAGGAATAATGCTAAAGATTATGTTTCTTAAGTAATGATTTATTTTAAGGAATTTTTCACTTGTGGTTTTTCCCATTACAAGCATCTTTCAATTTTTTTTTTCCCCCAGTTTCCTGTAGATGCTTGCCTACAGGAATGGTTAGTAATGTAGCAAAAATACCTCACATTTAGAGCAAATTATGTCAATTCAAAACCCGATACTAGGTTTACTAGGTCTCTCCTCTTCTATTCCTTAAAGTGGACTGTCTAGAAATTACAAGATTTCAAGTTTATGAATACCTTAGTGAGAACATTTAGTTAAAAAATGGCATAACTGAAATTTAAAATTCAAAACTACAGAAAAAGCAAAGACAGAAAAACAAAGAGTCTATATTTATTATTGTCTAAGAGATTTACTATTAATGGTATTTATCTATAAATATCTTTAGCTTATTTGGTTTCTGCATCCTACGGAAGTTGATAAATGTAGTACAAAATTATTCATTTCTCCTATAAATTCTTAATTTAAATAAAATTAGTAGCATGGGTTAAGACTTTTTATTCATTTACGATTGTTTGAATAGAGGCACAAATTTATTTTTAGTAATTATCATATTTCACAAGAAAATTCATTCCTTTGTTTTGTACATATCGAAGGTATTATTCCCAAACCTTTGTTCATAGAAACTATTTTATTCCACATTAAATTTCCTATACGGTGATAAGTGGATGTGGTAAAATAGATTCAGAAATCTCAAGTAGAATCATCATGACAAACTCTATTTACAATTAAATCTGTAACTCGGTTATCAGAAAAAAGGAATTGGGGCAAGACTGAAAGTTCCACTTAGTCAAATCTGTCTTCCTGCCAGTACTTCTCTATGGAGCACTGGATTACTCTGAATTATGAATGAGAGATTACTAAGCAGTGTCACTGCCTTCAAAATGAAGTTCTTTAGGAGACTTGTGGGGACAACACGGAAGACTGTGTTCAGAATGATAGGATTAGGCTAGAGCTGAATGCCCATTAAACCCCCTAGATAAGAGTTAAGGGCATGTTTGCCGAATGGATCATCACAAAACCACAATTAAAACTGGTAGTGAGACCGTTGGGAAAAATACCAAAATGATGTTCAAGAACCTCCACTTGGAAGGAATAGGGAGATGCAAAGGAAAGCACTAAAAGAAATGAGAAATCTAGCCAGAGACAGAAACCCATGGTACGCTGAGAGTCAAATGGATGGTAGAAAATGAAGAAGAAATTTCTTTAAATGAAAGGCACTTTTTCCCCCCTAAAAGTGACTTCACTTTAACATTCCCGCGTTTAGTCTGGGCAAGGCAGGTAGAAACTTAATTCATGGACGGCCCATGGAATCAATCTTAACCTTCCCACTGTGGTCAGAATAGGTTTGGTTGTACCTCCAGAACATTTAAAATTGAATATCTTTGTATTTGTATTGTAACGAGACGTTCTCATGTTTCCCACTACTACGCCGAGTCAGGGTGGCTCTTCTCCTCCTTCAGAAGACAGTACTTCCTAGGTACATTCCTTTACCAAATAATCTATAATCATCGTCCGTCCTACGCATTCAATCTCCTTCAATTCAAGTCATCTATCCACTCCCTCTCCACAAGATCTCGTCCTTCCGATCTTTATACCCCTTTCCACAAATCGGCCTCATTTCAACACTCCTTTATTGTCCGATCCACCACATTTTGGAATTCCATCCCACTTAAAATCTGCCATGCACCATCCTTATCCACATTTAAAACCCTCCTTTTCCAATTCCTCCTTACAATTCAATCAGACGCTGGGTAGCCTATATTGTATTATTATACTATTGTTGCATTGTATATATGTATATGTGTATGTATGTATATGTATATATATATATTAATATATGTATATTGTATATACACTATTGTACTATTATTCTATTCTCACTATTATTGTATTATTGGGTGTATATATTGTGTATGTACGATTACACTATTATTGTATTTCGATTATACTATTAGGTTCTACGAACATACTACTATTACTATAACATCTTTATTATTATTTGTCGCTCATTTATAATTTCATAGCGTATTGTGTATAGCAACTATTTTGCAGTATTAGGACATTATTTCTCATATTATGGCTTCCGATATCTGTACAGTTATGTAAACACTTCTTTTATCCCTTATTTTTTAGTTGTTTTTTTTTGTTTGTTTGTTTGTTTTTGTTTATTGTAATATACATTTTGGCCAGATGTAATGTTTAATTTTATGTACAATATTGTTATTCTCAAGGGACGTAGTCCCAGAATAAAGTTGATTCTTCTATCTATCTATCTATCTATTTCAATTAACAAGCTAAATGCAGCTGAATTGTAAAAAATATAACAATATTTATTAGATAAAATTCAATTATAGAAATGTTCGATATAGTTGTGATAATTTTAGAAAACTTATATTCTGAAGGTGGGGAATAGTGCACCGAAACATTAAGTTTACTTAATAAACAAATAAAAAAAACAAACAGAAGTAAAAATGTCAAGATTTTCTAATAATTTTTGTTTAAAAAATATGTTTCACTTATGAATACCCTTAACCAATCATCTTGCTCATCAAAATCCATTAAAATCAGTTACCTCTTATAATTTATTATATTATTATATTATAATTTGAATTTTTTTTTTCAGCTTGTCATATTTCATGAAGGCAAAGGTCCATTTTTCGAAGACTTTTACCAATGTGTGACATACGGTTTCTACACAGAACCTTGGCAAGAGCAGCTTTATACGACTTTTAGTTTCGTTTGCATGTTTATGCTACCGTTATTCATTCTCATCACATCTTATGTATCAACAATAGTAACGATATCAAGTGAGTAGTCTTTGTAACTATTTTTTTTTTTTAATTTTCAGTGTATTACAATTAATCTTTAATCTGATATGTTTTAGAAAGTGACAAAATCTTTCAAAATGAAAGCATCAACTCTGTGAGAAAATATGACATCAACCGTCGCAGACTGATACATAAGGCCAAAGTGAAATCTTTTAGGATATCTCTTGTAATCGTAGTGACTTTCATTATATGGTGGACACCTTACTACACGATGATGATAATTTTTATGTTTCTCAACCCTGACAAACATGTAAGTGTATTATAAATGAATTTTAGATTGAATACAGTAGACATGTTTATTTATTTTTTTTTTTTAATTATTATTAGTGAAAATGAATTGAATTACGTTCAGAAATGGAGATAGAGTTGATTGTTAAAATTATGAGGATGAAACATAATACAATCATTTGTGTTGTTTATTAAGTTTACCACTGTTTCAACACAAGTACATAAGTCATCATCAGACATAAAAATCTTAAAAATCCAAAATTTCATCAGAAAAATGAGATATAGATAAAAGAAGACAAAAGATGGAACATACACATGAGGTAGCGGCAATAAAAAAATTAAAAATAACACAAACATAACATTATGCCAAGAAAACTTTTCTTTACAAATAAATAAAATAATTACATAAATAAGTAGAACAAAGAAAAAAAAAATTAACAAAGAAGAAGTAAGCAAAGAAGAAGAACAAGATAAGAAATAACTGAGATGATTGTTTTGAATTAAAAAAAATATTTGTATATTTTTCTTTTTGTTTATATTTTGTCTAAACTATTACTTTTACTTACCTGGGTGGAAGATTGAAGCAAAAGATTGCCAACTCTCCTTCAGGGAAATTTCTATTTATGTTCCATCTTTTAACTTCTGTTATTTACATTCATATTTTTATCTTTATCTTATTTTTCTGATATAATTCTTCATTTTTTTTTTTTTTTTTAACCGGATAACAACTCGCTTGGGTCGAAGCGTCGGCATACTTAGTAAACAACATAAATGACTGTATATTCCAATAATTTGTCATTCTCTGAATTAGCTTCAGTTTTAATGGCATTTAGCATTTATATTTTTAGCCATAAAAAAGACATGTGTTATGATAACTGCTTGTTTATTATAGCTCTCTTCATTTTTTTCAAACGATGTCATTTTAAAGATTTATTTTTTAATTGTGGCTAAAATGGTTGACAGTCGTGAATAATGAAGAGTAGAATAGTTGGGGTGATCAGTCAAATAAGAAGGCAAAAATAAATGATAATATTTATTTTGACGTTTGCCGACGTTTCGATCTGAAGTTCAGGACTTCATCAGGGCTAAGAAAAGAACCAGATAACAAGGTATGAGAAACATAAGTAGTGTAGGTAAAAAATGTAAAGTAAAATGAAGTTGTTAGAATAATGACAATATTAAGAACTAAGAGATAAATAATAATAACCGTTACAAAGTGTGGAATGATGAAGTAATGATCATGTTTACTTCATGATTCAACTACCAACTTCATTTTACTTTAATTTTTTTACCTACACTACTTATGTTTCTTATACCTTGTAATCTGGTTCTTTTCTTAGCCCTGATGAAGGCCTGAACTTCAGGTCGAAACGTCGGCAAATGTCAAAATAAATATTATCATTTATTTTTGCCTTCTCATTTGACTGATCACCCCAACTATTCTTCTCTTCATTTATTTTTTAAGTTTTTAACAAAAAACAAAACAAGTAAAGTATCTTTATTCTAATTTTGATACATTATTTTCAGCTAAGTGAAGAGTTGCAGAAAGGAATATTTTTCTTTGGAATGTCCAACAGCCTCGTAAACCCTATTATTTACGGAGCATTCCATTTGTGGCGACCTAAAAAAGCAGGCAGCCTAAGGTCTGTGAGTATTCTTCTGCCCCGTATCTTGATTTATTAAAAATGAAGTGGTTTCATTGAACTTACAACTTATTGGTGATAATTCATGCACTTCATAAATCTCTGCTTTTTTTTCTTATGAGGAATTTAGCTAGTTATGTAGTTATTAGAGTTTATTATTTGTTCTTATAATAACAGTACCATTATTGAGTTTTAAATTTTTCAGAAGTTTTCAAATAGTGCGCCTACACAATCTGTTTGCATTGATAAGTTTTGCTTTAATCATTAAAAAAAACGGATTCTAAAACTTACTCACGGAAGTTAGATTATAATTTCAAAATCTAAACAAACAATCTTTAGTTTCTAAAATGCAGGCGAAAACAAACTAACCCATCTCTCCCCATTTGTCCTGATGATGACAGCTTTGATGGAACATTGACAGGATAATTTATTTTCACCTGTATTTAAGGGACAAGGCTGTGTAGTTGAATTTTTTTTTCTCAATTATAACCTAGATTGAATTTTTATCGCTTTTTTAGTTTTTTGCTTGTTTATATTAATTACTCACTGAAGTTTAAAAGATTTTAATTTATAGATTAAACTTCTTCTTCTGAATTCAGCTTAAATCATATAACATATAAATGAAATATTTCTGATTATCTATCACCCATGATAAATTAAATATGTTACAATTGATGAGGATGGTATTTTTTAAACTCGGGAGACGATCAAAATTTTTCTTTTTCTTTTTTACAAAAAATTGTCCCAAAACATGTTTTCTTTTTCTAAAACTGCTTGTTTGAATTTTAAAAAAAATAGATATATTGATAACATTCTTCGCTTTTATTTTGGTGTAGTATAATATTTCAGTTTTTTGTCATAAGCCAATAGTACAGTAATAAAGTCTCCACTTCCAATCCCTACCTTAGAATGATCATGTTTCCGTTCATCAGACCATTTTTAAGTCTATCATGTCCTTGTTTATTGCATTCTTATGTAAAAAAATATGTGTATTCTTATAACATCTAGTTATTATAATTGTCATATCCTATAATGTATCAGCTCTCGAGTTATCAGTTCCATTATTTCTGTAGTGTCTCAATAATGTTTTTTTTTTTTTTAATTATTGACAAGATTTGTATTGTAATTCATCTTCATATACACGTTCATGACTTTGAATGAAAAAAATTTGAAAAATAAAAATTTTACATAATTTTCATTTCGAAATGTCTTATTTTTTAAAAAATGCATCAAGCACTTTGAAAAAAAAAGTTAAAATATTGCAGATTAGATCCAAATGGAAATGAAAACATTATTGGTGTACCGTTGGCTTGTGAAAAATAAAAACTGAAATTATTTATAATTTGCATATTCCAAAAAAATTAAATCAGGGAATGAATCATTACTTTAATCAGCAAGTAGTTGAGCATGCAGGTACCATGGAATGATGTATTTGGATCAAAATTTTATAATATTCTAATATTATTATATTTATAATAATAATAATTTTTTATTTGTAAAATCTATTTTAAAGTAATAAAAAAAAAGTTTTATTCTAAATAACTTTCATTAGCTTCAAAACATTCTTCCAATGTCCTATTATGTTTTATATTCCTTGTTCTAAGAAATATTTTGAACAAGGAATTATATTTTACATAATTTTCATTTTGAAATGCCTTATTTTTAAAAAAAAAATGCTTTAAGCACTTTGAAAAAAAAATATTTAACCATTGCGGACCAAATTAATGTAGTTTAACTTAAATTATCAGATTATGCATAGTTCTTGTTTATTGATTTAAAACAAAAAAGTTTCTTCCAACAAGGGATTTTAATCCTTTCAAAAACTAATAAAAATTGGAAGAAATTATTGAAGACAAAGGAAGTTATTCTGAATAAAAATGATATTGGTAATTTTTGCTTCGTTCCATTTGTTTTTATCCAAAGAACTGTTCCCAAAAAATCCAACATTTTAGATAATGGCTATTTCCCGGTGTTAACAGTAAAAACTTATCCTTCCACAGAGAAATCTAATTGGAATTAATTCTTCTATTGAAAATTCCAAAATTGAGAAACCAAGTGCTTAACAATGATCAAGTTCTATTTTTATTTAATTGATTTCTAACAAAACTTAAGTTTAATTTCTCTAACTGATCCTTCTGACTTTGAAACAATTATGATGCTCATTTTAAATTATATAAAAAGCTTAAATGTGACAATCAGGTTAAACAAAGCTCAGATCATTGATGAGCACATTAATTTGTAATGATCGCTAAAACTCGACTTCACTATGTGCTATATTCTTTCGAAATGGCAGCTAATAAGATGTTTATACACAGCTGTCAGCAGAATACCTCTGAGACTACCTGATGATTTTTTTCTGAAATTATCAAGTTTTTTGTAAAATTTACGAAATGACTAAAAGTCACTGTTCATCCCCAGAATAATCCTCAGAACTCAATATGACCTCTCACCAATTTGTGACACAGTATCAACTTATTAAATATTTCATATGCTCATACATTGATGAAATATGCTCATACAACTGCATAGAGCTCTTATGCATCATCAAGTTTTCTTTCTCCATCTTAAAAAACTTTTATTTCATAAATTTAAAGGATTTAATCTGCTGTTTAATACGACTACTGTTGTTGTATGACCCCACATAGTAGTTAAATTTGTTTTTAATGTACATAGTCAGTAGAATAGCTCCTGACTGAAATAAACTAATGAAGTTTACAAATATTTGAACTTCACAAACTAAGATCAAAATATTAAGTTTATCTTCTTTGAGTTTAAATCTTAGTTGTGGAGGAGGGGAGGAAGACCAAAATGTATAATACTTAGGGTCCCCTCGTGTTTTTATGAGCCTCTGAGACCTTGGTCATTTATAAAGATATTGAAAAATATATGTTTTGGAATCATCATACCAAAGAAAATAATAAAAATATTTTATTTTGTTCTTATTATTGTGTTGGTAATCTATTTGAAAATAATGAGCAATTGTTTGATAATTTTTGCTAAATGCTAAGGCATGATTTAAGGAAGGTAATTCTAATGTTTGCTAAAAAATTCATTATGAAGTGCATGTGTTGTTATAATAAAAGCTAGTATCTGGATAGCATGCCATGATTCGTTTCGCTTTTTTTTATTGCTGCTATCAATCTGCATAACAAAGCTTATAGATATTATTTTACTGGGAATAGCCATTAAGTAACATATTATTAAATTAAATTAATAAGTAAGTAGCTTACTTTTCACTCAGTTAAAACAGAATATTGTACATATAGTGATATATTCTGTATATATGTACATATATAGTGAAACTATTTTTTGCATTAATTGTCATGCACATAGTGAGTTTTGCATCTATATAATTTTTTTTTAAAAACTCACAACTAAATAGGTTAATAGCATCATTAGCTGACTTGCTTAAGGAAATTTCTTTGAACTTTTAAGCGCAAAAGCTTAAATATTGATTTTATTGTATTTTTTCTTGGATTTGTCTTATAGAACTACTTCTCACATTGTCAAGACACATTAAAAATCAAGATAACATTAACATTCTCCTCTATTCCTCAAAAAACTGAAGTTAGAGAAAAGTATTGTTGTACGAGTAGCTGAGAGAGATGAGATCAAGGATGTAATTATGCGAGATAAAAAGTCCAGAACTAGAGGCGAGACTGTTGAAAATTATGAATTGCTTCATAAGATTCATATTTGTGATTCCCAAGCATTCTCATACTTTTTGTTGGTACACCGAGTTGAAGTGGCTATATCCTACTTCCCGATGGCAATTCCTTCTTGGTGTTTTTTTTCTTTCAAGTTCTCAGAAGCAAAAACCCTCCCTACATCTTAGAACTCCTCACCTTTACGCTCTTCTATCCACCCTCTCAATACCAGATCTCAGCCTATAGATTTATAAATCCCCTCCCATAAAACCATTTAAAACCATTATGGAACTCCTTGCCCATCTCCATACATCAAACCACATCCATAAACTCCTACAAACAACTCCTGTTCCACCACCTACTACAAATTCAAACTTCCCCAAGCTTGTAAAAATTTCTGGATTATATAATTACATTGGTCACCAGCAGTTAATTAATAGAAGTCATTTTATTTTTATTTATTATTTTTTTATATCTCAGTATTTATTATATATATTTGTATGATACTTACATGCCAGACTAATGTACATATTTTTTAAACTGTACTATTATTCTAAGGGGAGTCCCAGAATAAAATTATTTTCCCTGTGATTTCAAAAAAGTGTTGAAATGTTATTTTCTTCATTTTAAGATAGATATTAACAAAAATTGCCTTTAACTTATCATAAAACAAACCGTCAAGAACCTGTTTTTCCAATAGTAAAACCTATTTTTGCTTTTTGTTTAATCCATATTACTAGCAATATTTTTTTTAATGAGATAGTAGTGAATGATCTCATTTTTAAGACCCATTATATGGAGTATAACTCTTATAACTCTGAATTTCTGCGAATAGAGCCTGCCAACAACTATAAAAAAGCCCAAGATAAGGCTCAAATAGCTGAGTCCCATTAGATTTTGCAATTCCTTCAATAATAAAAGTTAAAAACAGACACAACATAATCTAAAAATACTCCAACAAAAAATAAAATTAAAATTTTGAGTTGTTGTAAACCAATGACTTCCGATCCAACAGTTTCCTTTAACAATACTCCACTTATCCCTGTTGAGCAAATCCGCTACCTAGGACTCCACTTGGACAAACGACTAACTTGGAATCCTCATACTAGATTGAAACAACAAGAAACCACTTGACGTTTCCGATTACTTCAGCACTTACTAGACAAACGCTCTAAACTTCCAATTAATTACAAAAGACTCATATACATGACTATAATAAGGTCTATTTGGACTTACAGAGTTGAGCTATGGGGCTCCAGTAAACCATCAAATTCCTCTCGCATCCAATCCTTGCAATTCAAAATCCTTCGTAAAATCCTCAATGCTCCCTACTTTGTTAAAAATAAAACCATCCATAATGACCTTAATGTTTCTTTTGTTTCAGATCTGGCCCAATCCAGATACCTACCCTTCCATAATAAACTTCAGAATCATCCCAACCCTCTCGTTTCTAACCTTGCTTCCTCTTCAATTCCTGATAACCCTTCGAGGCTTCTGAAAAAAAGATGGCCCTTGATCTCCTAATGTAGACATATCATTAGAGTGCTACCATTGGGTAGTTACTCAGCAAATGTTTCCATGTCAATATATCCATAGGTTCAAATTTACTTGATGTATTTAATTAATACAGTTGTAAATATCATTTAGAAATAATTTAAAAAAATAAATAATAAAAAAAATGAGATAAATCGTAAAGAGAAAAAGAGAAACCTCGGGCATAATGTCTTTATTGATATATCATTCCTGGAACACTATGTGGACCATGAGAGAACTTCCTAATATGCCACCCATTATTTTGAAAACAGTTCCTGACAAGACTAAAGCAAAGCAGACAAATATTTGAGGAAAAAATACAGAAGCCACAAATTCATGAAATAGAGGTCTAGGAGATTCTGAAATTTTATTATTCCAATTTTTCCAGGATATCAGTTATTGGTTCACTGTCAGCTGCTGATGCTTTTACCCTACTTGTAGGTTTGAATCCTCCTCAAGTTTATAGCATGAGCGATAATCTGCCGAAAAATCTCATAATCCTGAATTCAAATTTTATGTTACTGAAATTTAAAAAAATATGTTCTCATATTACAGAGAGGGGAGCTCAACAAATACACGTATATCAAGAGGGGGAGCACGTGGGAAAGACGAAGAGACTACGTTTGTGTTACTGGAGCAACAGTTGAGCCGCAATCACAGCTCGACTAGTTCAAACAGAATAAGGTGTGACGTACACCGCTCATTGAAAACATAAAGGACAATATAATAAGCTCAAATCGTTTTTAAAACTTTATTAAAATCTCTTGATTATACAGGTTTCTTGATATGGAACAAAAGACAATGTTCACACATCAGTATTTAAATGTATATTTCTTGTGAATAAATTAGCAGAGATAGTATTTAAAATATTAGAAACTTCTGTGCTCGTATTTTAAAATTGTATCTATTTATTTTGTAAAAAGAAAATAAAAATATTAAAAAAAATAAACAAAAGAAAGAATGAAACAATTTATTGATTTTTATATTTTGTTACTTATAAAAATAAAGTAAATACTTCTTTGCACTGAAATTCCTAGGCAGTTATTAAAAATTACTTTTGTTAAGATATCGAGTATTTCAGATAATTTTTATATGCAAATTAATGAATAGTTTAAGACACAATATACTATAATTGTATTTACCAAAAAATGGTCTAATGAAATGAAAATGAAATTAAAGTTTATTATGATTCCATGACATTATAATGTAATATAAATATAAAGCTTTCCTATCTTCCGTAGTGAGAAAGCAAAATAAGATACCTCATTATTTAAAATATGACATTTTTTATTTATACAAAGTTTTTTTTTAAAGATAATTTATTACTCAGATTATCTATAAATCTATTGATCTGTAAATATTAATAATTATAAAACCTAAAGATAAAATATTTTTTAATAAAACGATAATATTATAAGAAAAATATGACTTCTTTTATGTTTGAAAATCTATGAATTGTAAATATGATGATGAAGTTAGAGAAATATATACACACATAAATATATATATATATATATATATATATATATATATATATATATATATATATATATATATAATACTATCATTCGTGTATGTATTTTGAAATTGATATTTTTGGGGTAATCACGTTGTATATAATGAACATTTTTTGAAGATATATATTTTGTCTATAGTTTATTATTTGTGTTATATATAAATATTCTTTAATATTATTTCATCATGATTTTGAGATTTTGTGGTCAAATGCAAGCTTTTAGTATAATGTTTAGTGCTTCAATGTCTTATGTATTTTTTGTAAATAAATAAACTCATTAAATGTTTTAAGTGGTTTATTTTAATATTTTTATTTCTCCTACCTAGCCATTTCTGGCAATAGTGGAAAGATTGGGATTCATTCCATGGGTCCTACACAAAATAAATTAAATAAATTTCAACTCATACCAATGCCGCTAGACTTAAGATTGCTATGGTGATGACATCTGAACATTCTCTAATATCACTATGCAAAAAAAAAACTATTCTGTAGGTGTATAAGTAAGAATATTTTTTTCTAGTGATTTATTCTCCCATTTTTTTTCCACTCAATTATATCATTACATATAACGTTTCATATAACGATAAATGAAGACACTATTTTGTGATAAATGTCTCAGAAAAGGCTTTCAGTTATACAAAAAACATTGTTTGAAGGTCTATAAAATTTTTTTTTTTCCATAAAACATAATTTCCATCATCAACATCTTAATATTAAAATGCATATTTTTCATATCAGTTAATTAAAATTCAACCATATTCAGTAAGTCTAATATAAAAATCATAACTTTCATTGACTCTATTTCATATCCGTAAATGAATAATTCTTTTTCATATCTTCATTAAAGGCCAGGTACAGAAACTTTACGATATGTCTCCATTTTTTATTACCAGAAAAATAACAAATATACCAACTTTAGATTAAATACAACACCATTAATGTGGAAATTGGTAAAAAGTAAAATTTCAAAGAAAAAGAAACACTATTGTCCTGATTATGTATAAATATTTTTTTATTGCTTCCATTCTTGGAGTAAACGAACACAGTCCCAAAAAACATGGGCTGAGTGTAAATCAAAGTATACATATAGATATATAAATATGATATATGTATTTTATATATTTTTGGCTACCCAATACTTAATTAGTAATAACTAAGCCAATATTTTTCTCTTTCAAGGGTAGTGAAATTTCAAAAAAATCTTTTGAAATATCAAAGATTGAAGAATGCGATGATAAAGTCAGTTCTGATGCATCACTAGTACCAGTACCATAGAAAGAAGAATGGAAAAATGGGAGAGAAAAGTTTTCTGCACTGGCTGAAGTGATCTGAGATTAGAGTAATGTATAGAGAAGGATCAGTAAAGAATTGTTTATATAATCATGTCATATTCAGTAAGATGATACGAAGGCAAGAAGGTTAAGATGGGCAGGGCATATAGCTCAAAGCAATCCGTCAGAAGCAAGCATCTACACAACCAGAGAACCCAATGAAGGTGATAAATTAGATTTATAGGTATAATTAAGATGCTGTAGGACTGCAAACCGTGCAAATTGGAAAGCAACAGTGCAGGATAAATGGAGAAGGCTGATTCAGGCCAGGCAGCCAAAGATCTATGTCTGTAAAGCAAAATAACTCGAAACGATAGATTAAATCTTTACGACAACAGATTGCTGAGGCATGCTTTATAATAGTTAAATAAACAAAAATGATTGAAGGAAGTTAGTCGACTGTTCTGTATATCATGGGTGATAAATATTCAGGATGCAGTCATTATAAAGATTTTATTGGTGCCGAAGTTTCAACCCAAACATGTGGGTCATCATCAGGGCGCTTTTCGAGCACTGAAGGTATTCAAGCACTTGAATAAAAAAAAAAAAACTAAATAAAAACTTTATAATGACTGTGTCATGAATATTTATCACCCATAAACAATAAAATATAAATCAATTAAAATATTTTTAATCTAGAGTAAATTATGAAAGTTACTGTAGTAAACTAGACGCCACAGTTGGGTCCTAACAAAGAAAGGGCTAACACTTTAGCCGAATCAGCTGTCTCTAATCAGACAATTACTGCTTCATACTTTTATTCTGCATTAAAAAAAAATTTAAGAACCGAATTAATTGGGGAAAATATTGGCTGCATATGAGACAGACAATCAATGCATACTTTATATAATATTATGAAACTATAACCAAATAAATATACAGATATACACAATCTCTGATAGAACACAGACCATCTGAAAACTTCTGTAAAAGATTTAACTTGACTAATAAGCATTCCTGCAACTGTGATGGGAAACTCTACTTTAATTTAATCCCATACTAATCTACTGTAATTCATATGAACTTCACAGATATGATCATAAGGTTAATACCGAAACAAAAAAGTGTTGATTTATCTTCAAAATGAAAAATGAATAAATTATTTTAAAAACCAGAACTGAAATATAACGTTACTGATAACAATAAAATCCTCTCTCTTGTATATCAAAATAAATAATATTAAAATATTTTCAAACATAGCTATTTGTCATAATAGAAACTGCTGAGCGAGAGAATATCGGGATTAACACGAAAATTCCTCATTTCCAAAACAGTCTTAATTATAATGACAACCAGTAATCATTGAAAACATTTTTGTATAATTCAGAGTGTATCCAAATAAATGGATTCAATAATGAGATGAATATAATGCTATACCTTGAAAACTCCTAGATTTTATAAAATAATGACTGTTAGAAGAAGAAGAATTTTTACTTACAATTTTTTATTTAGTAAGTGATTTTGTTGTCTTAATTTATGTACGTTTAAAAAAAATTGGTTAATCTTTAGTACTACTTGATTATTCTCACAAAATGGTCTGTATGTGTCAGTGTCAGTGTGATCAGCCTACCTCAAGAATTTAAAATTGTAAAAATCTAAAATTACATTTGTAAGGTATGTTGGTATATGCCTGAGATAATACAGAAACTTTTCTTTTAAAATATGGAAATTAGAAGTGGTACTTTATTAAAAGAATTGAAGAAAAATAGAAGTATTTTTTGCCTTAACCTTGGAAAAATATATAAACGTAGACTTCTTAAAAAAATAAAAATAAGAAAATTTCTCAGTTTTTAATGGCCAAACTCTAGGGGGTGATTTTAGACAAAATTTCTAACAAAAAAGTTTATTTAATGCACCGAGGTTCCGCAACAGAAAAGGAGTTATGACCAATTTTTTGGTTTCCTTAAAATGGTCACATTTTTTATTGAATTACAAAGAAATTCTCGAAAATTACTCAAGATAACTAAATTCTAAATACACCATCGCAAAGAAAACAGTTTTCTTTAAGAAAGCAGTGATTAAATTTAAGATCAATGATAAGGACTTTCATGAGATCTAATACGACTGCTGTACTGCTATAAACGAATCGGGAATACTGAGATATGCTGCTCACTTATGAGTATTTTAACAGCAGCAGTACAGCCGTCATATTAGACCTCCTGAAAGTCCTTTCTTTCATTGAACTTAGTAAATTTAATCACTGTTTTCTTATAGAAAATATTATCTAATTTACGATGGGGTACTTAGAATTTAATTACCTTGAATAGTTTTTGAGAAATTTCTTCTATTCAATAAAAAACGTGACCACCTTATTGGTCAAATCAAATGAACCTTTTTGTTGGTAATTTTGTCTAGCCATTTGGCCATTAAGAACTGGGATACCTAGTATAACCAATTTTGTACATTATTACAATGTTCTCAAAAACGGTTCTTACAATTTTTTAAAAACTGATTATATCAATGTACAATTAAATGGCTTTTAATGTTAGATAAGCCCATTGTTGCAGTCTTACAGGGCCTAAATTTTCTAGATTACTTCCTATAAATTATCTTTAAATATAGTTTATCTGAAATAAATACTCTCTCGTGATTAGTAGTTATAAGAAATAGCTAAATATAAACTATGAAAGAACCTGATAATTATCATAAGGAGAAAAAGGAGATTCATTTTTGCAGAATTAAATGGAATTTTCCTAAATAAGATCAGTAATATATTGTTGAAAAACTAAAGATTCTAGTAGTATTAATATCTAAAGATGCGTATAGACATTTCACAAACTATGGGACTTACAAACATCGAAATGGTTGTTTACCTATAACTAGTGTTTTTGTTTCTTATTTTTGTTTTCCATTAGCTGTCAGTAACATGAGAATAAAAAAATTATGAATAGGTTTCTCATGAAATTCCTAAATTTAAATTTCAAAGGTACATCAATTGTCAATATAAATTTAGTATAAAGAGGAAGAGAGGCCATAGACCACCATCAAATGTTGAAGTTATTTAAGTGCAATAAATTAGTTTGAAATAATTATTTAGATGAGGATTGCACTGGTTACGCGTGGTCCACATTTGATCATGAAACACCGAAA